GAAATGTAAGTTAAGTTCTAATATAATTTTGCCTTTTCATTCGTTAACACGATTGATACTGAAAATACAAACACCGTACAGATATAATTGAAATTACACCTTTTCCTCCCTAATTACATCCCATACGACTCTGAGTCACACCTAAAATATATTTACTGTTAGTAATAAAAAAATACAAATCTATAGAGTTAGAAAAGATACCAATCATTCATTCATTAATTGCTAACCGTACTTAGTACTTGTAATTCGAACATGATACATGTGTTATCATATTGCTTCGTCGTTTACTTTTCTCTGCTCTCTTCCTTGTCCATGAAAATCAAATTTCTATCATTTAAAGATATGTAATCATAACAGGATAATAATAGTGACTTAGACTGAATAAATTATTGCTAATTTTCCATCACCAAAGAAGTATAACTTCATTTTGCATGAGAAAAATTCAAAATATGAGTAAAATCAACCTTTTCCTCTTACTTTGTCCCCTGTCTTGATTTTTTCGTGTTGACATAGAATACACAAGCTAATTCAATTATTAAAAACTCACTAATGTAATAGGTTATTTAACAACTAGTGAAAGTTGAAACTATCATGATTTATAATTTGATATTTAGAATGAAACACATTCGTCATGTGCTAAACATCATCGATCAACATAGAAACAACATGTATTATTTATCAAACATTGACACCTTTCGATGAATTTTATAATATTTACATAAAGGATTCTTTGAAAATTACATAATCAATCATAAGTTTGTCTTAGAACATCGTAGAAATCACAATATCTATGAGCACCATATGTATTCATCAAGGATTATAACCAACATATAGATCTCCAATGTATCAAAATTTGAGGAAAGGTTGGTTTCTTATATATCCTTCGATGCGCCACATAGGTGTGTGTGTGTGAGTGTTGATGAAAAGAAAATAGACACCCACACCTCTTTATTAATCTGCTGCTTATGTTCTTTATATTTAAATATTAGATGCTTCAGGTCAGCTCTCTATCAATTAGATGAATAAAACAATTTTTTACAAAAAAAAAAAATGTGAATAAATGTAGAATAAATTTTCATGTGAAAAGTTATTGCGCTTGTTCAATTCGCCAAAGAAAATAAGTGTCTTTCCCCAAGCCTTTATTACCTTATCTGCATGATCTTCCTTTAAATATCTTACAGATCACCCTCATAATTCAAAAGCATGAGGATACTATTCGTTGATCGTTGTTACCGTCTCTTTTAATAAACTCCTAGTCAATCGATATAAATTTAGTTAAAATATACTTTTTCAACATCATAGGTCCGAAAACATTTCAAAACTCAGTGAATTTCAATTCTTCGATGAAACATACGAATAGTAAAATTTAAAGAGAAAATCATTTAACAGTATGTACAACGTAGTTTTGTCAACCTTCGAACATATCCTCTTGAAACTGAACACCGAAATGTATTGATTACAGCAAAAACGTCGAAGAGCTCTGAGTATAAAATAACTCTTATATTATTCCCATATATTTTAGTGAGTTAAAAGATAATGAGGGCGTGGGTGTGAGTTATGGTCTTCTCTTCATCCACATCCTAGCTGTCTCAATACTTTTTTTTTTGAAAATGATTGAGAAAGATGTATCAATGGCGATCTCATTCGAAAGTATATAACAATAAAAGGCCTCAAGATGGCTTTTTCCAAAGGAATCAATTGTTCTTCGTTGTGAACCAATTACAATGTGGCTATCATGCCAAGAACGATCTTTATTTTTTATTTTTTGTTCGTGTATAGCAAGTTCTATTTCTGTGTGTTGTTTGTCGTCTGCAACGAATGAATTCATCATCTTTCATTTTTTATTTTCTTTCATCATTTCAATCTCTTCTTTATTCAATTAATTTTTCAATTTCGCTTTCAAAATTATTGTGCACTTGAAACTCTGTTACAGAAATGAGACGAAAAAAGCAATATCTCTCTGGAAGCCATTTCGCATCATGCATAATAAAACAGTTGCGCCGTATGTATTAATCTTTTGTTAATATTCAATGTGTAAGTAGGGTGACGAAGAATGTATAGCAGTGTTTTACAGCAGCAGTATGCTAGTGAAAATGCAAACGGAGGAAGAGCAGTTGACACGCCAACTCAAGCTAACTCACTTCAAGCGATCATTGATCCTCGTTTTGATGCTTTAGTAAATCGTGCAAAAGTATTGAGAAGATCAAATCAAATTAGATCTGAAACAAGTATTGATATTAGTTCTCCAAATGGGAGTTCTGCTGCCCAGTTAGATTCGGCATTGGAGAGGTAAGAAAAAAGAGAGTTTTATTATGTGTAGTATTCTTCAATCAGAGTGGACAAACGTCAACTTCTTTCACCAACATGGAAGCATCGTTTGCAAGGATTACTCATTGGTTTGTTGGTGACAGCCATTTCTGTAGGTACCATCTTGGCTGTTTTACTGACAAGTAAAGTTACAAATCTATTCATAAGTTACATTTATTGATAGTAATTATTTTTATACCTTGATAGGATCATCATCATCGTCGACACTAACATCAACACTTTCCTCATGTAAAAGTTTTTAAGTATATTCTTCCTTTGTTATGTATATGTTTGTTTTATTAGGCACTACACTACAATGGAATGCGATTGGCACAACTGTAATAGGTAATGGTTCGAATGGCAGTTCCTTGAATCAATTGAATGGACCGACAGGTATATTTGTTCATACGGATGATTCTATTTATATTGCTGATACGTCCAATCATCGAGTACTACGTGTATCGTTGGGAAGCAATGGAACAAATAATGTAACAGTAGTTGCAGGCATTACCGGTATGTCAACTGTTAGTTCAACCACATTAAACAATCCAAGAGCTGTATATGTTGATTCAAACCAAAATCTTTATGTTGTCGATACGGATAATTTTCGTGTTCAGCTTTGGCCATATGGCGCTTCGAATAGCTCAACAGTAGCCGGTAGCTCAACTGGAGTTCCTGGTTCGACTTTAGATAAACTTGGCTATAGTTTCGCATTATATGTTGATACAGCAAAAAATGTCTATGTTTCGGATGCATCATTTGGACGTGTAGTTAAATGGTCTTCAGGAGCTTCGACTGGTGTTCTTGTCGCTGGTAGCGGATCATCAGGCTATAGCTCTAGTCAATTGAATTTTCCACTTGGCATTACTGTCGATTCAAACAACAACACACTCTATATTGCTGACTTCCAAAGCCACACAATTATCTCCTGGCCAGTCGGCACGACAACGGGCACAATTATTGCTGGTTTGAATGCAACATCCGGCAGCATAGCATCCTTACTATATGCTCCATGGGGCATCATACGTGATACTTATGGAAATCTTTACGTAAGTGATTACGGAAATCATCGAATCCAATTTTACTGCAGTAATGGCTCGTCATTTTCAAGTGGCACAACAATTGCCGGTATGGGCACAGCACAGTTGTCATCGCGAGGACTTAATCGTCCTACTGGACTTGCATTCGACTCACAAATGAATTTGTATGTTGTCGATTATGGCAATCACCGAGTGCAAAAATTTTTGCGCACGAACTGAACCTTCATTAAAATAATAAAATGCTTTTTTGCTCATTTGAAATAAAGAGTGATTACACAAGGATACAGTTAGAATGAAGTACTACTAGTATTGATGAAAATTCTGAAGACATGAGTCACAATCCTGAATAATATGGAAACATAAGACTATATTTTTCCATTCTTCCATCTTGTTAATAATGACAGTTTTAGATGTTTTTCATCAAACATGGCAAGTTTATTTTTGAACAAACAAAATTAAATAATTAGTAAATGCCCTTAATTAACTCGTATTATGAATCATTGGAAAGACGGTACAAATTAAGCGTTGAAAATTATTCTTTCGGGGTGTGAATGTCGATGTGGATGTGGGTATTGTCTTCACACTCAGTACAACCACATCCACATCCACCCACACCCTCGAGCTGATATTTTGTCGAATGGTCATGGGTTACCGAACTAATATAACCCCTATTGACAGTTCCTATATGAAAGACTTATTGAGATTTTGTAATGATTGATTTCGGAATAATATTTTAAGAAGATGAGTTCTTCATTGTCAGATCCTTTCCAGTTATTTATGTGAGAGACGACTTCAATGCAACAGACAACTTATTTCGCTCAGTTCTACTAATTCTAGAATAATGCCTCTGATGGATATTCTTTCATCATCTGCTTTATTTGACACCATAATGACCAACAGTTTGATAAAAAATGATCAGCTTAGTCATCTTCGCAAGATCTCTTCAAGTACTTTCAGATGAGTTTACTCTCCCCATATCATAAAGAAAGATTTATTTTGAAAGGGATACAATTTAGCAGACAATTATTAATTCCAATCATCAAACCAAGGATAAGATAGTTCAACTTTTTTCTTATATAAGCAAAACTTTCAGTCAACAGAAGTCTTTCAGATTATTCTATGATATGTAACAGCATTTGTAATATCCAATGAATATCTTCATTCCACTTTGATCTTCCACTAGTATGATCAATCCACCATCGATAAATCTTCATTACTTGATGAGCAAGATCATGATTGCTTACACTTGCATAATTTGAAGCAATAACTCCATCAATTACTACTTTTCCAGATGGAGTTAATGGTGCATAATATCCTTGTTGTTTTGTTAA